CACTTTTAATATAACTTAATTTAATGTCTACATTTATTAAATTAAATGTAGAGATTAAATTAATATAAATTAAAGTGGCTTTAACATAAAGCCACTTCAGATTTGACAGCAACACTTACCATATCAGAAACTACTTCTTGAAGGCTCACTCACATCCTTCCATGGGGAATCAAAGGTTTTCGGAGTAAGTTTCTGCAGTACATTATGCCAAAAGAAGTTACCACATGCTGTAAATATTTGCATTTAATATAATTTCTATACACTCAATTATAATCTCTTTGAAGATAGTTCCTATGTTACTTTTAGTGCTTGGTGACAAGCATAAGACCAATGATTATTGAATCTTCCTGGTAGAAACATATTGGGAAGATATCAGGTCATGTGCCCTCCGAGAGCTTCACATGCACTCACCACGAGCTCCACCCTTCACAGAAAAGGGACAATGACAGCCTGGTCCTTCCTTGAGCTGTGGAAAACCTCTCATTCTACTCTGCTCCAAATGACTTTGGCCATTGCTCTGATGGTCCCTGTTCTTGGTAAGTAAAGGGCGGGGCGGTGAGCCATCACTCGCTGCTTTAAGCACTGTCTGGTGGCATCTATTTCTACACTGTACAATATGTTAGATGGCCTGGTAGTTAAGAAAATCTTCTATTCTTCTAACTAAAAATGGTTTTGTAGCTGCTTTTGATTACATTTGAGAATTTCCTCTGTAGGGATCTACAAGTAATCTAAACTCAAAGCAACTATGGCCATGAATAAATACGTGTTATTGTCAGTCTGACCACGAAGACTTTGCATTAAGTGATTATTATGTAGAATAGATACAGGTAGTTCCACTGGGTCATGTGAAAGGGATTTAATACTTTATTTCATTCTTACTAGGAAGGTAGGATTAAGATTTTTTCCCCAAAGTGTTAAATGTAGTACCCACATTTTGATGGTTTTTGAAAGCCATTTATTTGTTTATTATTAATTACAATTTATTCACTTTGTATCCGGGCTGTAACACCCTCCTTCATCTCCTCCTGGTCCCATCCTCCCTACCCCTTCTCCCCCTGTGTCCCTCCACTAGTGCACTGATAGAAGAGGTCCTCCTCCCCTACTATCTGAACCTAGCTTATCAGGTCTCATCAGGATTGTCTGGATCCTCTTTCTCTGTGGCCTAGTAAGTCTACCTTGCCAGTGGGAGCTGAATAAAGAGCAGGCAATCAAGTTCATGCCAGTCACTGCATGAACTTACTCCCCTTACTAGAAAACCAGCATGGAGACTGAGCTGTCCATGGGTTACATCTGAGCAGGGGTTCTAGGTCTTCTCCATGCATGGTCCTTGATTGATTCATTAGTCTCTGAAGGGCCCCCTGGGCCCATCTTTTTTGGCTGCTTGTGGAGCTCCTGTCCCCTGCAGGTCTGAAAGCTCTTTTAAATCAGACAGCCTACATAAATTTAAAAAACTCCAAGTGAACATAAATGAAACACTTCCTTTCTATCCTTGTCTTCTGAGACAGCTACTCTTGCATAGAAAGTGTTTTCAAAAAGACAAGAACATTATTCGGCAAGGCATATGACTATATTTTGATTAGGTAGATGTGAGCAATGAGAAAATAATGAGATTGACCCATATTACTGACTAGGAAAGGATAGGGGAAATTTTTATGCTGCCATCATCAATCAATCATCATTATTACCATGCTAGAAGGCACACATCAATGGTCATCTATTGTGTTCATTGAGAGTCATAATGAAAAAGAAGGATGGTCCTTGATCAGTAAACCTTACTACTCAAATGTTGAGATTCTGTCTCTCAAGACACAGCTTGTGATGTTCCTTGTAATTTGGTGTCCAGGTGATTGTGGACCTCCACCTGGTTTACCATTTGCTGCTCCAGTCAGCCAGATGTATGTGACTATCTTCCCAACCGGAAGTGTTCTGAAATATGCCTGCCGTCATGGCTTCAGGAAAATCAATTCAAGCCTTCTTACTTGTGATGAGAATGGTTCATGGGCCTATAATATCTTTTGTGTCAGTGAGTATCAACATGTTTTCTCACTTGTAATTTTTCTTCTTAAACAGTTCTTTTAGAAATGCAATAAATTGTGCAAGTCTAAACAAAATGTTAGGATAAAATGTACTGCAAATTAATATTACCTGGAGCTTGAGAGATGGCACAAGAGTTGGATCCCAGCACCAGGGTAGGGGCCTGTAGGTGCCTGTAACTCTAGCTCCTAGAACTCTTAATGCCTTCACTTAGCTTCCACATGCATTGTTGTATACACCATGCAAACACATGCGTACACACACACACATACACACACGCACATGTACACGGACAGAAATAAATAGTAAATATTTTAAAAGACTGACATTAACTGTGCTATTTGGAAAAAGACAGTCAGCAATGGACTATATTCTACTTTTGCAACAGTGAGGATTTAAAATTTATTTTCTATTTTCTTCTGTGACCAAGGATAAACATTTTTAAGAGTATATATTCATGGATAAATCTCACCAATGTGTTATGTTCCATATTATATTAGTGGTAAACACCCAAATGAAACTGAGTATGTTTTTTTCCTTTTTAAAGTGTTTGATAAAAAATTGGAAATGCAGTTATTTTTGTTTTTCCTCAAAGAAACAGGCATTTGACTGTATCATCAGAGCTATCTGAAAGTAGGAGTTGAAATTAATTAAGGGACCTTTTAAATTTATTTTATTCTTTAAATTCTATACATAGATATGCAGTATCTTGCTCACATCCACCCTACTTCCTCCTTCCAACTCCCTTTCCCCTCCCACAGCTCTCTCTCTCTCTCTCTCTCTCTCTCTCTCTCTGTCTGTCTCTCTCAATGTCATGTCCTCTTTTTCTTTTGTATAACCCATGGATTCCCATTAGTGTAGTGCTGTCTGTATGCAAATGTTGGGGCTCATGGGCTTGGTGATGAGAAATTACTAGTGGACACCAGTCAAAGAAAAACGAACTCCCTTATCAATAGTGATCAACTGCCACAGCTAGAATGGAACATAGAGAGCTCCTCTCCAACTTTATACTGAATTTTTAATTGGCTTATTTTCTTGAAGGTAGTCATAGGTGCTCTGAGTTCAGGTGTGCAACAGCTACCATGTCCAGAGGACAGACATCCATAGCCCTCTTTCCTGTCCTCCAGTTCTTACATTCTTTATGCCCTTTCTTTCCTTATTTTCCCTAAGTCTTAAGGGGCGAAGGTTCAAGTTGATATAAATGAATCATATATCAGCAAGCACTCACACCCACTTATTCTCAGTACTTTAAACAGTTATGTGGCTGTTAATTGACTAATGTCTTCTGCAATAAGAAGCTTCTATGACCAGGTTTATGGGGATAAAGAAATATTTAGAAGGCAGTTTGACAACATGACCATTCAGACAAAGAACAATAGTAGGTTCTGCCCTAAGGTCTATGACCTTCTTAGCCATAGACTTTTGATCAGGTTTAGAGTACCCGGAATGAAGTCTCTTCTGGCAAACAGGCTCAGGTCCACTTGAGGTTATTCGATAGCAGTCATGCTATCATTTTATCAGGGGCAGACCTTGCCTAGGAGGTCAGGACTGCAGCACGCAGAGTCTACGCTGAGTGAGAACATTGATGCCTTTTCTCTCCCTGTGCTTTTTCCGCTCCCACAGCCCCTCAATGGCATGCACATTCCAGCACAATGAAAGCTATACAGCAGAGCGTTTCCTTGTTTGTTTGAGACTGATTTCCTTGTTTGTTTGAGACTGAT